TTTTACGTGACACTGTTCACAAAAAAAAATATGCCGTCGGGTTGGAGTGAATATCACACCAGTTATAGTGATATAGAACTTGCCCTAAAGAGGATAAACATGTAAGCTAATCACATCGATAAAGTTTATCTTTTATTCTGTTTATTGAGATAAAGATATGTCTTATCCGATTAGACAAAGCGATACCAACTCAGTCAGACCAAAAATATGATAAGATTCTTAGGAATATTGACACTTAAGGTTAGGCAAAATATCTGTAAAATTTGCTTTCATTCGTTATTTATTTTGATCCGATCTGAAAATTTTGGATATTCGTAATTTCACAAAACAAAACAAATACTAAAGTTCAATATCCGTTAAAAATAAAACAAATCACAAATATTAAAATTTAAGAAACGGATATCCGCTCCGCTCCGTAAATATATATTCCCTCCGTTTCAAAATATAAATTGTTTTGGACGTTTTTTATATTTCAAAATATAAGTTGTTTTGATAATCCTAGATACTTTTTTAACTTTATTGACTATTGTGTGACCAATAGTATTTTGCAGCTTTTTTCATTGGTTAAATTATTTTTATTATATAAAAGATGATACTTTTTTGAAAAAAATAATTTTTTAATATTTGCACTTTTAGCCAAAACAATTTATATTTTGAAACGCATGGAGTATATGTATAGAACATTTCATATATGGATTGTATAATAATTATATATGTATGTAAGTTTTATGAATTTTTATTCATTAAATTAATTATTTTAATATTGAAGACTAACAAATTAAGAAGAAATTATTATTTTTAAAATAAAAATATCATTCTGGGTTAAATTTGAATTTTTTATTCATTTTATAAAAAATAAAAATTATAACGGAGCGGATCAGATATCCGGCAAAAATTTGGATTTTAGCGGATATTCGAACAACGGTCGATTTGGTGCGGAGCGAATACGGATCAGACAAGTGTTGATCTGAACGGAGCGGAGCAGATCACGAATATCACCAAAATAACAGATATCCGCTTCGTGCCCACCCAATGACATAGACACTTTTCTTTTGTCAACGATCCTAAGGGCATCTCCAACCATCATACTAAATTTGGTGTGGAAATCACACCAAATTTAGTATTTTGGTGCAAAAAAAGTTTTTCATCTCCAACCATAACACCAAATTTCACACTAAAACAATATTGTATAATTATTATATTATTAAATTTAAATTTTTTCTTTATTTCTAATCATTGATAAATATTAATTATTCTGATAACTGATTAATTAGAAGTTAAATATAATATTACAATCGATAAATAAAAAACCAAAAAATAAATTACATAGAATTGGTTTTCAGAATCAGTATATTTGGATAAAAAATGTTTAATTTACGCATTTTGAAGTTTAATATGAAAATTCTGGTTTTTTATCTGTTTGTGTCGAGCTAAAATTTATTGAAACTGAACATTAATATATAATTTTTAATTAATAAACTATAATTTAATCATTTTATTAAAAAAATTATAATTAAAATAATAATTTTTGTTAGTGTTTTGTGAACAGTGTCACACCATATTTGTCGTGGCTTTCACGGTTTGGTTGGAGCAAGTTACACACCATAAGTTTTCTGTAGTTTATTGATCGTTTTTAGTATAATGTTCATTTAACAGAACTTAATTACAAACACTAGAAGAATAGCTACACTAACGAGTGTTTTTTAGATATATATATATATATTTGATATTTTTAGTGATGTTATTTGTTTCCCTATTTCATATGATATCAGAAAATATATATTAGTAATTATAGATATACTTTTATAAACAAAATTTATTTGCGGTTTAAGCATTTAATTAAAGATGAAAAAACGAATTGTTTATTTAGTTTGTACTATAAATAAGTTATCATAAATACATCTCATATATTTACGATAGATATTTTTTGAAAAATATTACGATAGATCAAAATAAATAACAAAAAACAAGTTGTTTACACGAAAAAAAACTAGTGTGATAGCTAAATTCTGCGATAGATTAAAATAAACAATATAAGACAAATTTTTTACACGTAAAAAAAAAATTAACTAGTGTGCTAACTAAATATTAGTCGAAGAAATAACCAGGTTTTCATTGGTTAGTATTTAATAAAAGGGGAGTTTTTGAAAAATACTCTATTTATGTTTCTAAATTTGAAAAATACATCTCTTTTTTTCTTTTTTGAAAACTAACTCTTTTCATATGTAAAAAGACCCTTTTATCTTGATTTGGATTTAAGAAATTGCA